ACAGGATGAAAATAAACAGGCACATATCCTGGAAACTCTGCTCAAACGGGTAGATTTTCTAACGTCTGAGCAGCGGAATAATGAATGTTAAATAAAGAATCGACATCACAGCGCTCGGGACACCCCATAAGTGCTCAGTCCCCATCTTCAGCAGCAAGCGAACAGCTCCAGTACCGATGGTACCAGTAACTGTCTGTTGGAGGGGAGTGGGGGGGGGGGGTTGTGTGACGGTTGGTCTTGGTTGTTGGGGGGGGGGGGGTGACGTTTGTCTTGGTTGTTGGGGGTGGGGGGGGGGGGGGTGACGTTTGTCTTGGTTGTTGGGATTGTGTTGGTTGTTGGGGTTGTGACGTTTGTCTTGGTTGTTGGGATTGTGTTGGTTGTTGGGGTTGTGACGTTTGTCTTGGTTGTTGGGATTGTGTTGGTTGTTGGGGTTGTGACATTTGTCTTGGTTGTTGGGATTGTGTTGGTTGTTGGGGTTGTGACGTTTGTCTTGGTTGTTGGGGTTGTGACGTTTGGCTTGGTTGTTGGGGTTGTGACGTTTGTCTTGGTTGTTGAGTTTGTGACGTTTGTCTTGGTTGTTAGGGTTGTGACGTTTGTCTTGGTTGTTGGGGTTGTGACGTTTGTCTTGGTTGTTGGGGTTGTGACGTTTGTCTTGGTTGTTGGGGTTGTGACGTTTGTCTTGGTTGTTGGGGTTGTGACGTTTGTCTTGGTTGTTGGGGTTGTGACGTTTGTCTTGGTTGTTGGTTTGGGGGTGGGGGTGGGGGTGTGACGTTTGTCTTGGTTGTTGGAGTGGGGGGGGGGGGGGGTCCTTGCTACAGGTGTTTTCTGCAGTGATCTGACCCTGGATGCCGTCCAGCCAGGGCATGGGGACCTGTCGTTGGTTGTAGGGCGTTGTAGAAAGTTATTGTGTGTGTGGGTGGATGGATGGATGGATAGATAGACAGACATACAGACCGTCACAGATAAGTAGATAAATAAGACAGATTAGATAGACAGATAGATAAACATACAAACAGACAGACAGACAGATAGAGAGGCGGACAGACAGACAGACAGGATTGAAATGGATTGGATAGGATAGATGGATATCTGCAACAAAACCATAATTAGTCGCCCTTGACGACATGCTTGTAAGAGGGCAATGGGTCTCCATAAAAGGCCCTGGTTTTGTGAGGAGTCATCTCGTCTCAGGCCTGGTCGCCTGTGGACAGCCGTGCTGTACCTACCTCTGTATTGTTTTGCTGAGGAAACTCCTCTTAGGCCTGTTTACCAACAGGGCGGCTGTGCTGTTATGCATACATGGAAACAAGACACCCGTGCCCTGCCGCCGCTGCCTGTGTGTTCAGCATGCTGCATGTATTTAAATAAGCTCCGATTACCATCAGTAACCGCCGTACTACCTTGTGTCTTAACTGGGATCTGTTTCCAGAGGAAAGTTTGCTTTCTAGACCATCTCATCATCATCAGGTGCCTTGCCGACTGGCGTGGGCGATCATGCCTCTCCACAATCTGCGATCTTCTACAGCATGTATCAGTTCGTGTGCCGACACACCTCCATGCCATGCAACAAGACTGTCAAGAATCTTCTCTCGTTGTCTTCCTCTATCTCTCCTTCCACAGTTCTTTCCAGTGGTCACCACATGTTCTATTCTCCTTTGTCTTATAACATGGCCGAAAAATGATGACTGGCAGAGTGCCAGGTGGTCTGTAAAATTTAGGTCTAGCCCTGTATGCCCACGGTGCGTAAAGGCGTGGGAAAAGGTCCTTTAATTAACATTACTTACATTGGGGAGACTATATTATACTTACTGTGTGTGTTTTGTAATGTTGAGTTGATTGTTGTGGGAAACTTTATTATACTTACTGTGTGTTTTGTAATGTTGAGTTGATTGTTGTGGGAAACTGTATTATACTTACGGCGTGTGTTGTGCAATGTTGAGTTGATTGTCGTGGGAAACATTATTATACTTACGGTGTGTGTTTTGTAATGTTGAGTTGATTGTTGTGGGAAACTTTATTATTCTTATGGTGTGTGTTTTGTAATGTTGAGTTGATTGTTGTGGGAAACTTTATTATACTTACCGCGTGTGTTTTGTGATGTTGAGTTGATTGTTGTGGGAAACTTTATTATACTTACTGTGTGTGTTTTGTGATGTTGAGTTGATTGTTGTGGGAAACTTTATTATACTTACTGTGTGTTTTGTAATGTTGAGTTGATTGTTGTGGGAAACTGTATTATACTTACTGTGCGTTTTGTAATGTTGAGTTGATTGTTGTGGGAAACTTTATTATACTTACTGTGTGTGGTTTGTGATATTGAGTTGATTGTTGTAGGAAACTGTATTATACTTACCGCATGTGTTTTGTAATGTTGAGTTGATTGTTGTGGGAAACTTTATTATACTTACCGCGTGTGTTTTGTAATGTTGAGTTGATTATTGTGGGAAACTTTATTATACTTACAGGGTGTGTTTTGTAATGTTGAGTTAATTGTTGTGGGAAACTTTATTATACTTGTGGTGTGTTTTTGTAATGTGCAGTTGATTGTTGTGGGAAACTTTATTATACTTATCGTGTGTTAACAGAAAGAAGAGGGGGAAAAGTAAGCCACAATCGACATAGGAGAGATCGACTCCAGTTGGAGTGGGAGAAGCTCACTTCCTCATGTTATAAAGCCTTCACAGTGCTACCAAACAAGCGCGTTAAGCTCAGGATAATGCAAAACATTGCTACAGATAGAATATACCCATAATCAACAGTTTGAGAATCCCTGGTGGCAGCCATGTCTCCTTATTTCTGCTTCAACTGTTGTCTTCAGCTCCATAATCTGTTCCTTAATAAACACTAGCCCAACCCCTCCCGATTGTGGCCCCGCTAACTATGTCCGTTCTGCCAGGCTTGCTGTCGAAATTATGAATCCCCCAGATTTGGATTGACACTACACTTCAGGTTAATGTATTCTGTAGATCAGTGTTTCTCAAATTTATTTTTTTGCCGTGGCACCCTTTTTGGGCAAACATTTTTTTAAAATCTCGGCACATCCACCCTTAAAGCGGTTTGAATACTTAGGGAAAGAAGAAAAACAGTGCAATTTTAATGTTCATTTGTCTTTAATGCGATGAATGAAACTGTTTTGATGAATTTTGTTGAATTATTTCCTTTATGTTTATGGGAAGTTTAGTTAATTGTACCCTCAAATCACTTGAAGGTTGCTTCTGTATTTGTTTTTTAATGTAAGCGTACGTTGAGAATGCACTGCAGCCGTGCCAATAGCATTTTCTTCAGAATGTCACCTGCATCCAGAACTCTTCTTGGCTTCCTTCGAGTGTTTCCGCTTTAAACTGCTGTCTTCGCTGATCTCAAGCAGATTTGGCAAAATTCTTGATTATTGCCGCGGCACCCAGTTTGAGAACCACTGCTGTAGGTTGTTTTCTTGATGCCCTTCTCTCTGTCTTTGCATAGAAATTAAATTCATTATCTCTTGTGAGAGATGACCCCATAAAGTAGGCTGGGGGTGGGTTTGGTTATATTTATGGTGTGTTGTAATCAGGGCTTTGATTTCTGACACTGCTCAGCACTGGCACTTCAACATATTTTTCATCATTACTGTTATACAACTCTGGCCTGCGGATCCAGAGGTTGTGGGTTTAGGTCCCACTGAGTCAGTTTCTTTTCAAAAAATGATCTCGGCTACCATGTTGACCCAGCCTTGTATGAGAACAAAGCAAAGTCCTGGGATGTAAAGGCGGCTGGCGTGATGTTGACCACATCACCAACAGAGTACCAGCTGGTCTGCAAAATATAGGCCTTGCCCTATATGCCCACTGTGCGTAAAGGCGTATAAAAGGGTCCTTTAATTTATGCTACTTACTCTAATATACATTTGGGAGATTATATTATACTTACTGTGTGTGTAATGTTGAGTTGATTGTTGTGGGAAAGTATATTATACTTACTGTAATATACATTTGGGAGATTATATTATACTTACTGTAATATACATTTGGGAGATTATATTATACTTACTGTAATATACATTTGGGAGATTATATTATACTTACTGCAATATACATTTGGGAGATTATATTATACTTACTGTAATATACATTTGGGAGATTATATTATACTTACTGTAATATACATTTGGGAGATTATATTATACTTACTGTAATATACATTTGGGAGATTATATTATACTTACTGTAATATACATTTGGGAGATTATATTATACTTACTGTAATATACATTTGGGAGATTATATTATACTTACTGTAATATACATTTGGGAGATTATATTATACTTACTGTAATATACATTTGGGAGATTATATTATACTTACTGTATGTGTAATGTTGAGTTGATTGTTGTGGGAAAGTATATTATACTTACTGTGTATGTTGTATTGTTGTGGGAAACTATATTATACTTACCATGTATGTTGTAATGTTAAGTTGATTAGTGTGGCAAACAATATTCTGTGCGGGTTGGTTGCTGTTTGCTGTGTGTGGGTGGGTGCATGCGTGTGTGCATGCTTCAGTGGCTGTGTATGTGTGTGTGTTTGTGTAAGTAAATAAGTAAATATAAAGCTGGTCTGATTAACTTGGGAAACTGTATTATTCTTATTGTATCTTAGAAGGTTGGTTTGATTGTGGGAAACTTAAACATACTTGTTATATCTTAGAAGGTTGGTTTGATTGTGGGAAACTAAAACATACTTGTTGTATCTTAGAAGGTTGGTTTGATTGTGGGAAACTCAAACATACTTGTTGTATCTTAGAAGGTTGGTTTGATTGTGGGAAACTAAAACATACTTGTTGTATCTTAGAAGGTTGGTTTGATTGTGGGAAACTCAAACATACTTGTTGATCAGGTTGCAGGTTGAGCTGCTAGAGCAAAAAGAAACTGGGTCAACAGGAAACCAGCAACATTCAGCCACCAGGTGAGCCCGTCAGTCAACCACAGGAGCAGCCAGCCAGCCTGCCAACCAGCCAGCCAACCATGGAACCACTGTCAGCCAGTTTGTTGGACGACTCCTCTGTGTCCACAAAAGTCCCCAAGGTGCACCTCAGCATGCTGCAGATGCTGCTGTTGAATGCGGTCGTGTGTGGGGTGGAGATTGTGGCCTGCGCTGGATTCACATACATCCCTCCAATGCTTCTCAAGGCAGGCTATTCGGAGGAGAACATGGGGTTTCTCCTAGGAATGGGCCCACTTATGGGGTTCCTGTTTGTACCTGTCATTGGCAGAGCCAGCGATAGATGCTACAGTCAGTTTGGTCGCAGGAGGCCGTTCATTCTAGGGTTAGCAAGTCTTCTAGTGTGTGCTCTATACCTGATCCCCTTTGGGGAGTATTTTATTACATTGATAATCGGCGTGAGGCCCTTAAGTAAAACACTTGGAACCATAGCCTTGGCTGTTGGAGTTGTCCTGCTAGATTTCACAACACAAGCAAGTTTGACTCCGTGTGAAGCTCTTTTGAATGACGCATCAAAAAACTCGGATCAAAATGAGAAAATATTCACAGTCTACTCTCTGATGATAAGCTCAGGAGGCATTATTGGATACCTCCTCACGGCCATTGACTGGACATCCAATCCTTTGGGAACTTACTTTGGTGGGCAGGAGGCGTCAATCTTTTCCATTCTCATCATTGTCTTTACCTTGATGTTGGCTTCAACGTTGATGGTAGCCAAAGAAGTACCACTGTCTAACTCAGTTGTGCCCGTTGATATTGCTACAGTCAGTTTGTCATCATCATCATCATCACCTTCCAGTTTAACAATGGCTTCTGCCACAAAACCACAAATTACCCATGAAAGTGGCTATGAGTCCAGCAGTAATTCCTCCGATGATGGTATGGAAATGGGTAAAATTAGGACTAGAAACTCCAAACGACGTACAAAAGGATTCTGGGGAGCGCTGGCGTGCATCCGAAGTGTCTTTCTGAAAGTGGTCTTATATCTGCCCACCCAGGGCAGATGCATGACCAACTTTATAGGCTGTGTGTGCTGGTTTGGGCGACAGTTGGTGCCTTCCCAGCTGATACAGCTCTTTAAGATTCCAAAGGTGCTCAAACTTCTGGCCTTTGCTGATGTCTGCTCTTGGACCGCCATCATGGGCTTCAACATTTACTACACAGATTACGTTGGGCAGGTCAGTACTCGTGTATGTTGCCTGTCTAATGTCCAGTCTTGTTCTTCTGCCTGCTAACCCCCAGTGGAGCATAGGCTCTCATCTAACTGACGCCCAGTTTATTCTATCCATCGCTATTGCATGCATCTCTCTCCCTCTTTTTTTTCACTTTACTCGCTAGCACCCCTCTCCATATGTTAATTTGTTTGGACATTTTTAGTCAGTATTACATGTCCAGTCAATATAATTTGTCCACGTCCAGTCAATATTACACGTCCAGTCATTTGAGTTGAGTCAAGAATTGACATCACAGCACTCGGGTCATTCCCATGCATGTTCCGCCCTTATCTTCAGCAGCCAGCGCAGAGTTCCAATACTGATGGTAGCGGTCACAATCTGGTTAAATGACCGTCTTTTCTTTGAGTGTAATCAGCCGGCCAGACCCTCTGGTTACACTAAGGTGCCTCATTCTCTCCAGGCCATAAAAATCTTTTTTTCTCTACTGATTCCGTTGCTTGTTCCCAAAGGGCCTTGACCACATCTGCCTTTTCATGCATCAATCACCACCCAGTGGTGCAGATCTAGCCAATCTGTCTGCCTGTTCATTACCCACCACACCAGCATAGTCTGAAGAAAAGATCCAAAGTATGCTCACATCCAGTCAATTACACATCCAGTAAATATTACACATCCAGTCAATATTACATGTCCAGTCAATAATATTACATTTCCAGTCAATATTACATGTCTAGTCACTATTACGCATCCAGTCAGTAATATACATCCGGTCAGTATTACATGTCCAGTCAACATTACATGTCCAGTCAATATGATTACATGTCAGTGTCAATATTATTACATGTCCAGTCAATATTACACATCCGGTCAATATTACATGTCCAGTCAATATTACACATCCAGACAGTATTATACATCTGGTCAGTAATTACATTGAGTCAATATTACATATCCAGTCAATATTACATGTCCAGTCAGTATTACATGTCCAGTCAGTATTACATGTCAGGTCAATATTACATGTCCAGTCAGTATTACATGTCTGGTTAATATTACATGTCCAGTCAGTATTACATGTCCAGTCAGTATTACATGTCCAGTCAGTATTACATATCAGGTCAATATTACATGTCCAGTCAGTATTACATGTCCAGTCAATATTACATGTCCAGTCAGTATTACATGTCCAGTCAGTATTACATGTCCAGTCAGTATTACATGCCCACTATTCACACAACTATATGCTTTATTGCTCATGTATGTCTTATATACTTGCCTCCAGATTGTGTATGGAGGAAACCCAAATGCCCCAGAGAACAGCATAGAAGGCAAAGCTTACGACGACGGCGTTCGTGTGGCCAGTTGGGGTCTTCTTCTACACTGCATCTGCTCAGCAATTTGTTCATTTTTTATTGAACGCTTTTGCGCTTCCTATGGGTACAAAACAACCTTTACCCTAGGAATGGTAACTTTTGTGTTCGCAATGATGGGGATGGTATTGATACGGCATATCTACTTTGTCAACCTCATGGCGGCTGCCACTGGGTTCGCCTACTCAACCATCACGACCATTCCATTCATGCTGGTGTCAAAATATCATGCAAATAAAAAGGTACGTTGTATTTTGTTTCAGTATATCAGCTTCTAATAGACTGAAATAGCTGGGGCATATTGAACAAATGTCAAATGACAGAGGAAAAACTGTATACACATGGGAGGTGAAGGGTCGTAGACCACGAGGCAGACCAAGAAGATGATGGAGAGATAATGTTCAGACAGACCTGCAAACACTTTGTGTCACCAACTGGAAAGAGAAGGCCAACCAGAGAGATGAGTGGGGGCAGGTGATATCTGCAGCAATAAACCTCAAGGGCTAAGAATGCTGAAGAAGAAGAATAAGAAGAATATAAGCTTCAGTATTTTGATACAGCATCCCATTCCTAAAGATGAGGTATTCAGGCCATGTTATGCATCATGGTGGGAGCCGGACTTTATTCAGAAATGACTTTGGCTCACTGGTCGACCAAGCCTTGAGTGGGTACCATGTGTAGTCCTAGGAAGTAAAGGCGGCAGGTGTGATGTTGACCACATCAACCACAGAGTGCCGACTGGTCTGTAAAATAAAGGTCTAGCCCTAAATATCCACAAAATGAGGCAAAGGTCAACCTCAGTGAAGATGGAGACAGGATGTTGAAGATGCATATTCTACAAAACTTACAGGGCTGGTGGAGAGTTGGCTTGAGGAGAGAGACTTTCAGGTTTGTTGTGAACAGAGCACCATTCTGTCAAGCTTCTGCTGATTATTGATGAGTATTTTGTTTCAATAGCATCATTTTGCCAGTTCTTCTTTATGGAGCAGAATGCTGGAGAATGACCAAAAAGGATGCACACAAGCTGTCCACCTTCCACCAGACATCTACGTAGAATTAAATGGGCAGTTTCTGGCCAGATACAATCTCAAACACTCCTACTTCAAAAACCAAGGAACTTTAGCAGTATGATTACCAGAGAAGATGGAAACAGCTTGGCCACATTATGAGAATGAATCCTTATACCTGCCAAAACCGCTCTCACATGGTGGCCAGGGAAAGCAAAACAGGGGTTTAAAACAACATGGAGTGAACAATGACGTGACTGAGTGCAGCATCTTTGACATGGAAAACTGCACTGAAGATTGCACAGGACAGGAAAGCATGGAAAGTCCTCTCTGAAGCCTCATGTGCCACTAGGCATAACGAGAACTGATAATGATGATGTTGTTTCAAGAAAAATTGCTGCTGATAAAGGCTTTCTTTTTCTTCTTAGCATTCACCAGCTGTCAACTCTAGCAGAAAGTTCTGGGTCCATTTCTGGACTAGAGTTTTGTGTGTGTGCAAATTCATTTTACAGATCTGACTGAATTGTGTGCAGACTGTTAGTTCATCATACCTCAGGCAGGTGCATTCTGACTTAGAAGGAAACACCCCTGATGAATCGTTTTTTTATGACATGCTTATTTGGGGATGCTGAGTGGGGCGAAACCCATACAGGGGACGGGAGAGAGAAGGGTTCTAATCACATTGGGCGCAGACTGCAGAGACTGGTCAGCAGTTGCTGCAGAATCATATATTCAACAAATTAGTTATTTAGAACACAAAACTAAATACATCATCATCCTCATCATCATGTATCAGGTCCTTAGCAGAACTTCGCTCTCATCACAGTCTGCCTGAAAGAAACTCGGTCTCTCGCCAGTTCTCCCGCCTCATGAACTTTCACACTCAAGGAGTCACTTATATTCTGTGCCTATCTTCGTGTCGGCCGGCCCGTGTCCCTCCTTCCTGGTACCATGCTTTCTGCTATATTTTTTTTCCAATCCGTAATAAATATATCAGATACAAAATATAGTTTAGCAGGACATCAGGAGCCTCTGTTGGCAGTGGTTAAGTGTCGCAAACTAGCTTGGTGTGGGTGCGTGGTGAGACATGATTAGATTGCAAAGACTGGGCTTCAGGAAACATGAAGGAAGTTGAGGAAGAGGAGGGCAAAGAAGAACATGGAATGACAACATCAAGAAATGGACAGGACTAAGTTATAAGAGAATGGAGGTGGAGGCTGTCACTTTAGCTTTCTGCTGGCTTGAGAACTAGCTGCACAATGCCGTAATTGTAACTGACTGACAGAGGGGGTAGTAATTACGGGATCTGGTCACTACTCAGGAAGAGAATGGGTCAGGGGGTAGTAACTAGGGGATAGTCACTACTCAAGAAGAGAATGGTGCACAGGGTAGTAACTAGGGGATTTGGTCAAGACTCAGGAAGAGAATGGTGCAGGGGGTAGTAACTAGAGAATCCGGTCAAGACTCAGGAAGAGAATGGTGCAGGGGGTAGTAACTAGGGGATATGGTCACTACTCAGGAAGAGAATGGTTCAGGGGGTAGTAACTTGGGGATATGGTCAATAGGAAGAGAATGGTTCAGGGGGTAGTAACTAGGCGATATAGTCACTACTCAGGAAGAGAATGGTGCAGGGATAGTAACTAGGGAATATGGTCACTACTCAGGAAGAGAATGGTTCAGGGGGTAGTAACTAGGCGATATAGTCACTACTCAGGAAGAGAATGGTGCAGGGGGTAGTAACTAGGCGATATAGTCAATACTCAGGAAGAGAATGGTGCAGGGAGTAGTAACTAGGCAATATAGTCACTACTCAGGAAGAGAATGGTGCAGGAGGTAGTAACTAGGCGATATAGTCACTACTCAGGAAGAGAATGGTGCAGGGATAGTAACTAGGGAATATGGTCACTACTCAGGAAGAGAATGGTTCAGGGGGTAGTAACTAGGCGATATAGTCGCTACTCAGGAAGAGAATGGTGCAGGGAGTAGTAACTAGGCAATATAGTCACTACTCAGGAAGAGAATGGTGCAGGGAGTAGTTGGTGCAGGGGGTAGTAACTAGGCGATATAGTCGCTACTCAGGAAGAGAATGGTGCAGGGAGTAGTAACTAGGCAATATAGTCACTACTCAGGAAGAGAATGGTGCAGGGGGTAGTTGGTGCAGGGGGTAGTAACTAGGGGATATAGTCACTACTCAGGAAGAGAATGGTTCAGGGGGTAGTAACTAGGCGATATAGTCACTACTCAGGAAGAGAATGGTGCAGGGAGTAGTAACTAGGCAATATAGTCACTACTCAGGAAGAGAATGGTTCAGGGAGTAGTAACTAGGGCAATATAGTCACTACTCAGGAAGAGAATGGTGCAGGGAGTAGTAACTAGGGAATATAGTCACTACTCAGAAGAAATGAGTAGTAACTAGGCGATATAGTCACTACTCAGGAAGAGAATGGTGCAGGGAGTAGTAACTAGGGAATATAGTCACTACTCAGGAGGAAGAGAATGGTTCAGGGAGAATAGTAACTAGGGAATATAGTCACTACTCAGGAAGAGAATGGGATGCAGGGAGGTAGGGGCACTACTCAGGGGAGAGAATGTGCAGGGAGTAGTAACAGGCGATATAGTCACTACTCAGGAAGAGAATGGTGCAGGGGTAGTAACTAGGGAATATAGTCACTACTCAGGAAGAGAATGGTGCAGGGAGTAACTAGGCGATAGTCAACTGGTGCAGGCTAGGCGATATAGTCACTACTCAGGAAGAGAATGGTGCAGGGAGTAGTAACTAGGGAATATAGTCACTACTCAGGAAGAGAATGGTGCAGGGAGTAGTAACTAGGCGATATAGTCACTACTCAGGAAGAGAATGGTGCAAGTAACTAGGCGATGGCAGGGAGAATAGGGAGTAGTAACTAGGAGAAGGACTGCTACTGGTCCCATCCAAAATGGAACTCTTTGCTGGCTGTTGAAGATAAGGATGGAGCTCTTATGGAAATGTACCATGGGGTTGGTTGTCTCACCCCATTAAAAAAAAAAAAAACAATAGCCACAAAAACCAACCAGCCATCAATCAGTTATGTGCCGTCTCCCTAATGATGGTTGGCTACAGTGGATTTCAAACACGCTCCATCTCTGGTCTTAGCTGCACACTCTCTTGATGTTGTCCTCCCACTTGAATTGTTGTCTTCCTTTTGCTCTCTCTAGCCTTTGACTTGTCCCTCTTGTATGGTAAAAGTCTTTTGGTAAACCAACCATGGACAAACAAGTCTAAAAGAGTAACAAGTAGGACTTGGCACGAGTTGGGTGAAGGCCAATGCTCCACAAGAGGAAGAAGTAGTAGGTAGTGTTACTGTTCTTGTATTCCTTTATGGACCCAAAGGTATTACATCTTCTTATAGTTTTGTATGGTATGTTCTGAGAAGAGGGAAAATGTGATCACCGGAAAGATCTGTGGAAGGAGGGATAGAGGACGACTACATAAGATTCTTGAGTCTTGTTGCATTGCCTGGAGGTGTGTCAGCACACAAACTGATATATGCTGCAGGAGATCGCAGATTGTAGAGAGGCATAATTGCCCACACCACTCGGCAAGGCACCTGATGATGATGGCATTGGTAATCATTTTTTTTACCAATCATGTGTTGCTGAATGTGTGGTATTTTGTCTGTGTGTGGGTTCCGGTGCCCCATTGTGGGGAGAGCAAGAATAGACCCACTGTCTCTTCAACAAGCATGTTCTAAGAGTCGGCTTATTGGATGTTTTCTTTAAGGTCAAAGTGCAACTGCCTGATCAAAAAGGAACCAATAGTTTGCATACCAATAAGCCAGATCTGTAAAATGTAAAACTCAGTTCCCGAAATGAGACTTAAGTCCAGGAGATGAAGAAAGATTAAATGTGTATGTTCTCATTAGATTTTGAACGGTAGGTGTAAAAACTGCTCGAGAAAAGACTGACTTTTTGATTTATAATTAAAGTGAATATGTATCATTTTCTGGAAACGACCCTCCCTCTCATGTTGCAGATCTTTTTTCTAGAACGACGAGGACTTTAAATGTGTCGAAGAAACTGTATCACCAGTTCAATAAAAAACTTGTGTTTCTTTTTTTTCCCACGTCAGGTCTATTTTGCAGATTTGCCACCAGCCCTGTTGTCCGACTCGGAACGAGGTATCGGCTCGGACATCGCCATACTCGACTGGTCATATTTCCTATCACAGGTGGCGCTGACTACTGCAATGGGTACCATAGTGCACATCACTGGAACGCTCATCTCCTACATGGTCACAGCTGGGTCCATGGGTATCTTAGCCATCTACTACATCAACAGAATCATTGAGAACGAAGGACAGGCTCGAAGGTGTCTATTAGAAGGACCATAGGCTCTAGTCATTGTGTTTTAGAGAAACTGGTGATTCTGCATCATTTTATGACAATTAGAGTGGCTGGTGTCCCCCCCCCCCCCCCCCCCCCCAAAGGCAACATTAAAAGGGGCACAGTTCCGGTTACAGCACTCGCCAGTTATCCTAATTTACTTGGGGGCCTGTTGTTTGCCTCGCGCTCTGAAGGTTCTGGGTTCATTTCACGGCAGTGCCACTCAGTTACGAGTGATGTTTTTTTATGGAGCTCCATGGGGATCATCACTAAAGCTACTGAGTTCGAGCTTTGTGCAGCACTCTTGGCTAGTTGTTATGCGCAGAGAGACCATGCCATATAAATCCAAGCGCAGTGAAGTTGATCTTCTCATATGTAGCCTGACCGTTAATTATCTTCTTGGAATTTGACTTTACCTTATATAGTGCAGACCTGATAAGGAGAACTCATCGGGGACCCAAAGTTCTTTAGAATTGCTTGGGGAATTTTTTTGGGTCTGCACTGTAGTAGGTTCCATTTGATAACCTCTTTCTCATCACAGCCTGTCTGAAAGAAAATGGGTCTCCCACCTTATACACTTTCCTACTCAAGGTGTCACTTATATCCTGTGCCCATCTTCATGCAACCCCCCCCCCCCCCTGGTAATATATCTTCTGCTACAATTCTTTCTAATCTGTTATCTTCTTCTTCGCGTTCACCAGCTGTACACTCTGGCTGAAAGTTCTGGTCGCTCGTCCACTACTGAACTGCAGTCCTGCTCCAGAACCTGAGTTGCGTGTGCATCAGTTTTACAGATCCCATTCTCTTGAATACAGACTGTTGGTTCCTTGCCTCTCCGGCAGATGCACTCCGACTTCAAAGGAAGCTCCCCAATTAGTCGACTCTTACGACATGCTTTTAGGGAGGCAGTGGGTCTATTTTTGTTTGTTTGTTCCCACAATGGGGCCCCGGAACCCACACGGGGGTCAATCTGTTATGACGCTTGATATGGCTGAAATTTTTCACTTTTGGGGACAGGAGGCTGTGTACTAGCAAGTTCTTCTGGATCTTTTAGGATATATTATTATATTTCTCTTCTTCTTGGCATTTTGAGAATACGACAGTTTAAAAAAAAAAAACCCCACTGCAGCAGGAGAGAGGAAAGACAAAGATGTAAATACCTGCGTGGCTTGCGAACATAGTACTTGATGAGTTATTCTTTAATGTTAGAGCAGTTACATAACTGTAGAATATGTGTATATGAGATTGATTATTGTAGATTTGTAACCTTTACCCTGGGAACTCAGATCTTTGTTACAGTGCCAGTTAATCTCGTCGCACCCAGAAGACTCATTCTGGTCACTTCGGGTTCAGACAACTTGTAGCGCTAGCTCGGACATTGTTGAGGTGGGGGCAGATGTGCCAGATTTTAGCTTTCCCCTAATTACTGTTGTCACTTCCTAACATATGTTTGGTAAGGAAGCAGTGGGTCTATTCTGGTTTCAGGAACCCAATTGAGGAAGAATGGGTTGAAAGACCAAATTTATATCTAACAATTGAGGTAAATATACATGTAAATGGTCTAATGTATGTGTTCATAATTATATGTATAATTTGTTGATAGAAATATATTTTGCTTCAAATGTATTCTTTAATGGAAATGTATTTTTATTGGTGCATGCATTGCATATACATTGTTCTTTACATGTAAACTCAGATGAAATGTTTGGGTTATTTGTCAGTTTCAAACACCTGCAGGTTCACTGAACAAGAAAATTCCCATAATAAGTGGGACACTATGACAAGTACGCCATTTGTCGTATTGATAAACTCAACCATTTATAATGTATGCTTATTGTTTACACCGGGTCAGAGAGTTTGTGTTTCATCTCAGGGAAATCCAACATAGAATGTGTACGTGGATTGTCGTAATCCACACTGCTGTTTGAAAGCTAATTTGACATATATCTGTGTATTTTTATACTTTTCGAACTAGGGGGTTGTCGTATACATTTCTTTAATTTTGGGCTATAAGGATTCATCTTCTTCTGCCTTTATATCCCCCAATGGAGCATAGGTCATTCTATCCTTCGCCATTGCATGTCTTTCTAACCTCATTCTCCAGCAGCTCTTTTCTCCATGTGTTTTTTGGCCTTCCTTTATTCCTATGCCCCTGTGGATTCCAATGCAAAAACCTTCTAGTTATGCTGTTTTCTCAGTGTGTGCCCTATCCAACACCAGTGTCTTTTCCTCACCTCTTTCTATCATACCATTTTATTCCCTCTATTCTGCGCAGGCACCAGTTATTGAATGTCTGTAATTTATTAGTAATTGCCTTGATTTGACATTACAATGAAATCATCTACACGATCTCTATTCACAGTGTGATGTGTGATCAGATTTGTGCTTTCATCAGCATTATAGACATGTCAGCATTATTTCAGAAGTCCATCTTCATCTCATTTACTTTCACATTCAAGGAGTCGCATGTGTTGGTCAGTCCCTGCCCCTCCTTCCATTTGTTTTTAATATGTGCACTTTCATTTTCACACCTAGGTGACTGAACACATGATGGTTGTATCAAATCTCATGTTTTGAGTGTGCATTTTTCGATGGTTAAATGCAAAAAAGCAACCATTAGCTACTGGTGCTCACCATCAATTGTCTGTTAGTTGTCATTTCTGTGGTCAAAGTGCAGATGGGAAGAGCACCTATATATAAACTAATTGCTAGATACAGAAAAGAAAAAAAAAAAAAACTACTGCCCAGAAATGTTTCACACTGTATTATTATTTTTTACATATTTACCGGAAAACAAAATCAATGAAATGACAAAGAGACTAGCACATGTAACTTGAACTCACATGAACTGCTGCATTTCTGTCTAAGATACCTTACATTCACATAAAAACGCACACTATGCATGTGGACATTAACAAGGTGTGCCTGCTCCTTTTAGAACCCTGCCCCCAATATGTTGCATTATCTCTACTGGGAATGAGTTCCACATGTAACCACTATCTGTGGATAGCCAACTCCTGCAGCCATGTTTATAGTGTTTCCACAAAATTCTTTAGCTTTTTCACCTCAACATTCTCCATATCCTTTTCAATGTGCATTCCAATTTATTTTCTCAATGTCTGTCCTATCCACGGCCCAACCCCACAATAGACTCACAACCTAGGATACAAGTAGTAACAGACAAACATTTATTATCTCACAACTCATTCACATACATGGCTTGACCCAGCTTCCCCACTGCAGCCAACAGACAGATTTCAGTTTTGGGTGCATCTGATGGTGGAAAGCTGCCCCAAGCACAACATGCTTACAATTAGGACATCTGCTTACTGACATATGCAGCAACCAAGCACTTATATCTCAATCAAGCAGTTCTAAGATAATTTCTGCTACCAACACCCAACTACTCACATCTGCAGTCATATTATGTGGCAAGTGATACATTGATTGACTTCTTACTTGGGTAACAGCTGGGGTTCTAAACAAAACACAATATTTACAACATTAAAATGAGTTTGGAGCTAGAACGTTCAGGTCCTTCTTTGTGACATCTACTTTTTCTCCTTCTGTAGCTTTCGTCAGCCATGCTCCAAACTGCCGAGTTTTGGACAAGATACTGAAGGCAGAGCGCGGAGGACTGTGGGCTCCAGGCGAGTCATGCTCTGCAAACTTTGGGGTCTCCGATGTCAGGTTTGATGACCGAACAACAGCTTTATTGCCCACACTGTCATTAGATGTTAAATCAGATTTACTGCCTGTTTGGCATTCAGCCACTTCCAGTAAGTCGCTCTGTGACTGATTCCTGCGTACGTACTGTGAAATTATTTCTGAACCAAACAGGGATTCTTTCTTTGGGCTTCCAAAATGATTCTGGGCAACAGGCAAATGTGGGCTGGACCTGACACGGGTCATTGCTGGAATGCTGATGGCGCTGGAGGATGTTGCTGTGTAGTCACCGCCGTCCCTGTAGCTGCTGTAGATGTTGGCGCTGGATCCGCCAGCTCTGGTCAGCATACAAGTGGTCTGCGTCAGGGTGTTGTTGAATTTTGTCAGAACTCCCGAGGTGCTTAAGACATCGTCAGACTCTTCTTGGGCGGTTGAGTATCGGCGGACCAGCCCGTGGTGCGGATGAGCCTGTGACTGTTGTGTGGCTGGTTTTTGGTTGGACTGGCAAAATGACTGCAGTACCAGTTCAGACTGATCTGGTAGACCGACTCGAATTTTGTGAGCTGTTGAAGAGAACAAAACATGAGCGTCAGTCTTAAATGGTTTTTTTTTCCTTCTAATTCACTCTTAGCGTTCACCAGCTGTAAACTTTTGCAGAAACTTCCGGCTGTTCATCAAAGTTCTAGTATGAACTTCATTGTCTTTCATTATTTATTTAGCGGCCTGTACAGGTTCACTTTCCTCCAGTGTCTGTCTTGGCCAGAAATTTTGCTTGCAAATGTAACTGGAACAGTCTTGTAGGGCGTCATCTGTTGCCTCAGGTGCCAGTCCACATGACTGATTCGCTAATTTTAAATTCTGTGTAAATGTGGCTGAGAAATTGTGCTCTGTTCTCAGGTGTCGAATCCGCAACAGCATAATACCAATCTAAATATTGTCATGGAATGTCAGGTGCGTCTGATACATGACATATACAGCTTCAGGCAATCTTGGAAGTACTAATTGTGTGTGTGCACACAATATATTTATCCCTGACACAATTTTTTCCTTCAACCATTTACTAAGAAACCGGGGAAGTATAAAGTGTAAATACCTGTGCATAATATACATATAACAGGAAGAGTACCATTAATTATACAAAATATGTTGCTAATGCATATGTATAAACTGATAGACTTTCATACACGCCTCCAGATAGCCAACTATATCATTTTTATTTTGAGTCCAGATGGACTTTAACTGTATTTTAAACCGTGGGGAAAAGCCGACAAAGGAGGTGGAAGATTTTCAGTAGATAAAAAGCACACATCAACAGTGCTGTTTGGGGATATCATCATAACAC